GACCTCTGACTCTGGCATGCTTGCCACGGCCGAGAACAGGACCGAGAGGACGATGGATTGTTGCCACGCTGGAGGTTCGAGGCCAGCAAGGACCGTAGTCCAGAAATTGTCATAATGCAGCTGGAAGCTCGGCCAGTGGACAACACGAGCGATGAAATGAACGTTCTCAAAATAGTTGCGCACCAAAATATCGGCCGCCGCTTTTGCCGGCAAGAAATTGATGAGGGGTCTCTTACTGCCGACATCTCCAAACAAGAACCCAGATCCCGGGGCAATGTAAGAAGGTCCAGGGGCTAGGAAGTCACTGTTGTGATCCGGGAGTTGAGGTATCGCTGAGCGCTTCTCGTCGGGTGTGCGACGATCATTGGTGGGCTCTGAGAGTATAATGTCCATCTGAAGCGTTTGTTAACCTCAGCGAAATATACACGCCACTGTTGCACTTACCTCTTCGTGGAGTCTTGGTCGGAAGAATCCACCCAGCCGCTCCGTTAACCTTTATGTTGGTTAGCCAATCTGTTTCCTCAACATTCAGGTTGTGGGTAAAATTTACCGCATTTTCCCTATTCTGATCCCCAGGTCTAGGACATCGTCATTTGCTTCGTAAGCATCGATATCTGCCAAAGGTGTCGGTTCAAGCCCATTTTCGTCTTCAGGGACGGCAGCTTCATTATCAGAGCTACTGTTCTCGCCTCCAGGAAGATCGGCTGAGGTTCTGCGCTTGTTGCGGCGCTGTTGCGAGACCGAACGCAGACCTGAGGCTTGGTAGAGACAATTGCGCGAGAACCTGGTGCAATTAGAACATGGATGCGACATATTACACTTGAGTTTTCTTTGGTGGCATTCAAAACACGACCTCATTCGGCGGCCTCGTCGGAGCACCCGATTCCGAACGGTGGATTTCGGTTTCGCGTCGATCGCGCCGCGACCTTCGGGCGGAGGTGAGCTATCCATATTGCTCAGCATTATAGTTGACAGGATGAACTACGGCAGAAGACAATGGAGCTCGTAGAATCGGGACACAATGTGAAAGTTTGGTATGCCTTCTGAGGGGTTTAAGTTGCCGTGGGAAGAATGAGGAATCCCTAGTCGTTGGAGTTACTAATGAGAGAAAGCTGGACGCGAGAACAGCCATGTCCGAACCTAGACAAGTAATGGTAATTAAGTGACCCGTCTGTCACGGCGATGGGGTTGCAACATGTTTGTCCGCGCCATAGGGGGGTGAATTAGCTGAGGAAAATGTGTGGAGCCAAGATTTTGGTGATGGAGGCACAGATACGGAGTACTGGCTGCATGGCGAGACTTATCACACATCCACCAGTAATCAAATAGCGGTGAGGGTCTCGCTAGTCAACCGCCCCCACGTGTGAGACAGCGGGAAGAGTAGCGTTTCCTATTGCCCGACCAAGGGTACCTTAGCCTACTGTATGGGGCTGCGTGTTGGTTCTCTCTCTTATGGACCTCGCACCTAGACGTAACTATTGACTGGACGCACAACAGAAGCGTGCTAGCCGCCTAATATGCCTCTACGTGAACCAAAACCGCTGCGGAGGTGGTTTCGTGATTTGAGCCCACTCCTGTCAGAGACCATACTACGGGATCGAGGAGGGAATCCCTTCCCCGGCGGGGGAGGACGACGCCGTACATGGCCTAACCCTAAAGCTACAGCACCCTCCGTATTTCCGACCTCGTAGGGTAACCAACTAGAAAGGATCTAGGGATGCCACTTCCCTTACGTATACCGTTAGGGAATCGGAATAATATTTATTGGCTGCGGGCTGGCCACTACCTTTGGGCCCAGCTGACAATGTCCGAAGGCATAATTTACTTTGGCTAATCATGCAGATGATGTGTCCAAAATCACCCAACCACACCGTTGCCACCACCGCATGAGGGCGCAAGAATCCTGCTGGTGAATTGTCTTTCCGCATCCCCGTCCACAGGTGGGACGCGAATTAGCCTCGCTCGACTAGAGCCTCCCATAGCATGGCTCCCAGAACTTACCCTTTTCCTTTTATCCCCTTCCTCAGTTCTTTGATGCCAGCATCACACGAGCCCCTCTCAAACTCTCGTCGTTATCGTCGAAGAGGACGAGTCCCCTATTCTACTATCTGCAGCTGTGTAGATAAACTCTATGGTAACTCGTCAATCGAACACACTCTGAACGTACACGATATCAATATTGCATCGCTATTATACATGAATTCGTCCACCCTTGCTTCACCATCTCTCAGGACACTATCAAAAATACCTCAGTATTTTGACCTCGTACGGAACGTCATAGCTAAGTACGGGATTCATGAAGATGATACTTGGAACTCTGACGAGACTGGGTTTATAATGGGCCCGATCTCGCCCGCAATGGTTATAATGAGTTCTGAAGGGTATGGAAAGGTTAAGATGGTACAGCCTGGTAATTGGGTTAGGGCCACAGTGATCCAGGGTGTCAATTCGTACGGCTGGGCGATCCCGCCTTTTCTGGTGGTCGCTGGGAAACATCACCTCGTATTATGGTACCGAGACAGTCCCCTTCCGTCCGACTAGGTTGTCGCACTTAGCGATAATGGATGGACAACGAACGAGATTGGTCTTGATTCAGTCAAACACTTTGACAAACACAGTCGTGGTCGTACGAAGGGTACATTTCGTCTTTTGATCCTAGACGGCCATGAAAGTGATCACTCAGTGGATTTTGAGGGCTACTGTAAGGAGAATAACATTATTACACTCTGTATGCCTGTACATTCGTCACATCTACTTCAACCACTTGACATTGGGTGTTTGAGTCCCTTAAAGCGATCGTACGGCAAGAAATCGAGAACCTGATCCGGACACACGTGACCCATTTCACAAAGGTCGAGTTCTTTACCGCGTTTAAGAACGCTTTTTTCGCATCCTTTGGCGAGGAAAACGTACGAGGAGGTTTCCGAGGGGTAGGGTACCGCATCCCTTTTAATGCAGATGCGGTCCTTTCGAAGCTAGATGTGAAGCTTCGGACGCCAACACCAACAACACTCCCCTCGCCAACAACCACCCCTTGGATCTCTAAGACGCTACAGACTATGTAAGAGGCAACTTCACAGTCTGATTTTATCAAGGGGAAAGTTGCTCGACATCAAGATAGCTCTCCGACGGCGATTTATGAGACGATGGACCAGATGGTGGGAGGTACAACTACTATAATGCACCGAATGGCATTGATGAAGGATCGCATCCGGGAGCTTGAAGAGGCAAATCGTACGCCAAGTAAACGTCGCAGAGAGAAAAGGACACGGATCCGACAATGAGGATCACTTACTATACGAGATGCGCAGGATATGATCGACCAGAGGGATGCGGATAAGCAGGTGGAGCAAGAAAAGCGTGCATGTGGTGGTCGCTCGCTATGCACCCACGTTATGGCTTGTTGATGGATAAGCGTAGTATCGATAATTATGATACAATGCTGGTATTATATCGCTGGTAATGATCCTCTTGGCATTCTTTTACCCATCGACATAGAGTACACCATGTGGTTGGCCGCGTTCGCCATCGCACTCATTCTACGCTACGGCGTTGTTCGAGCTTTCAAATCTTTAAGATACCATCGGTTGCACGTGCGATTATATCAATGTAAGATCCCTCGGCTCGTCCGCTCTCTTTGAGTTCTAGTTCACCCGCCAGATCTGTGCAGCCGCATGCTACTTCATGAAATAGCCTTTCGAACAACTTCATTTCCATCGGCGCGTTGCCCCAAGAACAGGACTGGCCCGAGTCGCGATTGAGCTCATATCCATTACGCCATCTTCAAACTCTCGTTCGTCGTGGATATCTGAGCCCACCGGCTCACCGATCTTTTAAACAATATTTTGCGCGTCCTTAATTTGTCTCTTCATAGGCACTCTTCTTCTTCATCTTCTTCGTTGGTCGGTTCTTCCTCTCCATTCTCTAGAGACATGCGGATAACTCGCTGGCTTATTGGTCCCAGCGACAGTCGTAACCCTTGCCGAAACCCACAGCGCAGACCGCCGTAGATCCAGCCTAATCGATGCTTTTATGCCGTCGTTGTCGCGACTAGGTGACGGCAGTGGAGGGAGCAAGTGGGCATTGTTCAATGTCAACGTCAACGGAA